TCAAAAACTTTAGATACTGTACGTTATGTACATCATGTACAACAAGTTCATTTCCCACTTTCTGAAGTACATTTTACGGTTTCCGAAGTACAATTGAAATCTGAAGTCCACTTAACGGTTTCTGAAGTACGTTTGACTAATCTGAGGTATATTTTATGATTTCTGAAATATATTTGACGCTTTCTGAAGTACTATTAATAAAGGTGTAGCAGCGAAAAGACTTTATAATAATTGTAAATTTGATTTTTACTTTGGATCTCAGATTTAATTTTTTACTAGCAAAATTTTTTACTAGAAAAACAAAAGTAATATGGGGCGCCTTTTTTTCGTCAATTATCTCTTTTTTACGACTTTCTCAAAATTCTCAATGGCAACCACCTTTTCAACCTCTTCACTCTCTTTCAAAGATACTTCCCGGCACTCACGAACTAACTACGTCCGAAGATGTAATGTAATCACACATAACACCTAAACAACCATACATATGTACATACAAGCATCTGTTTTTTCTCTCTGACATATAATGTCGCTAAAAATTGTTCAATGGAACATAAACGGGTACAATAACAATTACGATGAACTCTTACTTCTTATAAAAAAGCAAAGCCCAGATGTAATTTGCATTCAAGAAACACATATTCCATCAACTCTCAACAACAACATTTACTATCCCAAGCAGTACAGTTGTTATTTTTTGAATTTACAACACATTCAAACCAAAAAACAAGGCGGTTGGAAACTTATAAAAAATTTCATACCACAAGAAGGTTTTGATTTAAATTCAACGCTATCTACAACAGCGCTAAAAATTAAAGTTCAATTTTATTTTTTGCATCGCAAATACTTATATACCCCCTTCACGAGCTTTTAATGAAACCGATTTAAACGATTTATTTCCCCAACTCGGATCACATGTTCTGTGGACAGGGGACTTCAACGCCCACTATGGGGCTTGCACAAGTCAAATACAAGGGGTCTATTAATTGCCGATTTCATCTTAAACAACAATCTGATCCTAGGTAATAATAGCACCCCCACACATTTGTCTACCCATTCTTCCCTTACAAGCGTTGACCTTTCCCTATCCTCTCCCCAGCTTTCACCCAGAATTAATTGGGAAGTCTCATCTATTCTCAGAGGTAGTGACCATTTTCCCATATCAATCTCCCTTCGAACAAATTTCCACTTTGGTAAATGTAAGCATCTCGCCAAATTTATAACTTCACGCGGAAACTGGGACGTGTTTCAAAGAGAAATTATAACAAGTAATTTTTAAGCAAAAAACAAAACCGACTTCAATTCTAATATACAAATTTAAGATAATCGGTAATTTCTTCATGATCCAATGAATGATGATTGAAATCTTCAACCAAATTAGTATGCGACCACCTGTGACGTAACACCTTTCCTTAAAAAAAAAGAATTATAGAAATCAGTTGACGTGGTCCAAAGTTATGCGGTAACATACATAAAAAAAAAAAATATTCCGATGAATTGATAACCTTCTTCTTTTTGTTAAGTCGGTTAAAAAGCATAGGCGTTTCCCTAATCGACATTAACAAAGAAACATCTTCGTTCACAAAAATTCTTCGTTCTGCAGCGAAAACACAGTTTTTCGAAAGACATTCCTATCTGGTGGAACAAAGACCTTCAACAAATGCGTGATCAAAAAACTGAGTACTGGAAAACTTTCAAGAGCTCAATGTCTGAGAATTACCTTAAGAACTATAAAAAATACAACGCTCTTTTTAAAAGAGCTGTGAAGGTAGCTAAAACGAAAGGTTCTGAAACTTTCACTACTAAAATCTCTCCTTCCTCGATCACCAAAAAGAGCTGGTCAGACATTAACCTCTTAACTGGCGCGCCTCGCAAGCCCTTGAAAGTGATCCAAACAAACCATATTTTACTTACTAACTCCGAAGATATTGCCGTAGCCTTCACCCAACTTTGGTCGGTATACTCTGAGTATAGTTATTTTTCTGCAGAATACATCACTGAAAAACTGTGTTGGATTTCTACAACCTACGCCCTGGAAAATCTCTCGGCAGCAGCAAAAATTTTAGACGGTGAAATTACTTTCTGTGAACTAAAATCCGCTCTACAACACACTAAAGTTAAAGCACCAGCCATCGATAGGATATCCTACCCGATGCTTGCAAACTTACCTACGGCCGCTAAACAAAGATTACTTTGCCTGTACAACACAATCGTCAAGGATCATACCCACATAACTGGCATATAGCGACCATTGTTCCAGCTATTAAACCAAAAAAGCATCCAACCTGATTTCTTCTTATAGACCCATTTCCTTGCTATCATGTCTAAGTAAGTACATGGTTCGTTACAAACAAAAATTTGTGATCCACTAATTCAACTCCAACACAATGTGTCTGACGCCCTCTCCACCAAAAATCACGCCACTATCCTGGCCACTGATTTCGAGAAAGCCTTTGACCGCGTGGGAGTCCATGTAGTACTAAGCCAATGAGCAGCTTGGAAGGTTGCTCCTAAGGCTTTTAAAATAGTAAAAACTTTCATGACGAACCGCAAATTTCTTCTCTACATCGTGTACGTTAAGTTGAAGATATTTGTCTCAAGAAAAAGTATAAAGAACTCCGCCAGGAGTCTTCTGAGTCACATTTTGAGTAGCGACTGCCTCACGGGCTTCGGGTAGATTAAGGGGCCCTATGTTTCAAGAAAGATATCTTAATTAAACTCGCTAATGACAAATATATTTCAATCTGAGAAACAATGTTGTAACGTAGCTCCCCTACGCTACACTGACAGACATACGTACATGCATACATAAAACCCACAAGTACATACATACGTACATACATATCCACATCCAGCCATACATACGCTACATATTTATATACATACATACAGATCTACATGCATACATACAACCATACATACATACACCCATACGTATGAACAACCAAAGGGAAGCACGCAAAAGTGCAAAGCATTCATACACACCAATACTCAGCGAGAATTCGTTGCTCAAACATGCCAAAAATCACGATCTTCATTCGCTTCTCAACCTGCTTATCCAACAACCGACTTAAGTTGATTAACGCCAACTCAGCCAGCACCAGCTTCCGTAGGTAAGCACGGAGCGCATCGGGACGGCTTAGGCCGTGTAACCTCGAGCGCCCTGGCTTGTCCTGCGGGCAAGGCCGAGAGGTTGAGGGGGGCCTGTGAAAGGGGGAATACCCCTCGCACAGACCCCCAAACCCATTATTTTAATAAACGGTCTCAGTGGACAGGAGACGAACTCTCCTGCCCACTTAGATACCGCGTGGCGAGCGGGCATTGTGCGGTGGATAACACCGCCCCACAATGTCAAGCCACCACGATTGAATACGTACCGTCTCACCCCAATGGGTAAGCACGGGGCGCATCGGGACGGCTTAGGCCGTGTAACCTCGAGCGCCCCTGGCTCTGCACATGGGGAATACAGACTGGCCAAGCTGCCGTAGGTAGGCACGGAGCGCATCGGGACGGATTAGGCCGTGTAACCTCGAGCGCCCCTGGCTCTGCCTACGGGACAGGTTGGTGGTTTGTGAGAACATATTGACGACCAGCTTCCGTAGCTTCCGTAGGTGACCTCCGTGACCATTTCGGACCGCCAATATTAAGTGCCGCCCTGGGCCAAGAATACAGCAAGGAACCACCACCGACTATCATTAACGAGGGCCGCTAGCAACATCATCGCCATCCAGGGCCGTTGTCGCCGTCGTGCATCATTAGGGCCGGACTGCCGCCTTCCTCACCATTGGGCCGCCAATATCATTGCCGCCCCAGGCCGAACGCAACACCAAGAGCCGCCACCTTTCAGGGCCGCTAGCATTATCATCGCCATCCAGGGCCGTTGTCACCGTCGTGCATCATTAGGGCCGGACTGCCGCCTTCCTCACCATTGGGCCGCCAATATCATTGCCGCCCCTAGGCCAAACCGCTACCGAGGACCGCTACTTACTGTCTACCGCTGACATCATCGCCATCCAGGGCCGCTGTCACCGCCGTTACTCATCAGAGGCCCGTTGTTAAAACTAGGACCGCCAATACTGCTCTCACTACGGGAGGTCGCTACCGCCCTCACCACTATTTGGGCCACCGTCAACATCACTGCAGGGCCGTCACTACTAAAGGGACTGCTACTGCCATCACCATCAGCATCGTCGCTCTCATTGGCTGCAGTACCCGTGCTGTGGGCATTTACCATCATCACGCTCGCTACCGCTCTCACTGTCATTATTCACCGAACCATCACCGCTCTCAACATCACCGCCACCGTCACTAGCCACTAGACAGTCTCCGCTCTCTGAGCCACGACGCCGACCGCCGACCAGTTAGTCGCTCTCTCTCTCTCCCCTCTCTTCGTGGACGTCAGGGTACCGGCAGCCTGGCCGAACGGCCGCGTGTGTGTGTGGTTGTGTTCGCTATATTTAACTACTGTGTTTATTTTATTCAGTGGGGGTTAGTGGGACCTCCACTCAACCCTGGAGCGGCTGAGCTACCTCAGCCTTCGATAAAACCCACCTCATAATGTGATATGGCCCACTCTCATTTTTGATAGAGTGCTGCTTAGTATTGACGGAACGGACTACAACAGCACCAGAAATTTAATATAAAAATCACATGTTTTAACTAAGTACGCTTTTGAAGAATGCATGCGATAAGTATTGCTCCCAAATATACAACTAAAGCATTATTGTGCGCTATAATAATCTCATTTCGGTTTTCAACTTTCAAGTCTCGTAATTTGTTTTCATCCGATTGAGGATGCGTTCATGACTGTGACGATTTCACACCAGGATTGATAATAAAGAATGAATTAACAATAGAAAAATATAATGTTTCCAAACGTGGTATTTTTATCTGCCAATAGCTTTATACATTTTGTTTTGGTCTTTCAGTTATTTCGGATATATATTCCTATGTTTATAATAAGTATTTAGATAAACTTACCCCTCTTGTATCCTTATCGCTAGGTGGAACGCGTCTAAATACTTGGTAATTCATTTCAGTGGACCGATTTTGGTTTGAAAACCGGAACGTAAACCCATTGTCAGGATTGCAACTCGCTACAAGAGGAAAATATGCATGTGGTAGCACTGTATCGTGAGACGATTTCAACATTAGCCACACTCAATGCATTCAACGAAATTAGATCTATCAACGAAAATAGCAGAAAAAATAGAAACCATAAAAACAGAAATAGAAACAAGCATCTCACCCCAATTCTTGCCGAATGCAGAAGTAGCAGCCATTATCAAAAGCCCACGTCTTCAAACTCAAACAATATCAAACACATTTCGCATTCAAAAAAATACAATTGCGACAATGTAAACAACAATAACACAATAACAAGTAAAGCAAATCTAAACAAAGCTGAGATTCCCGAAAAGCCCTACCCAGTGACAGCCACGTTCGCATTAAGAGCATTTGAGGTAGCACACGAAATGAGCCAACACGACGTTACCTTGCATCTCCCGGAAAATAATACATTTGCAAAGAATTTGCAAGACACCAATTGCGGCGAAGTTTCTGCGGAAGAATCCGTTACATCCCACGGCGGCGGCATTGGTAATGCATTATGCGTCAGCAGCGACAATCCTAGTAGTAGTAACACTCACGCCAGCGTCAACAGCAACCAAGCCGGCAAGAGCAACACGATAGGCAATACTAGCAGCAAAATGGATACCAGTGAACGAGATCGAAAACGTAAACGCTATTTATCTGACGAAGAGTGTACACGCACAACTCGTCAAAAACAGCAACAGCAGCAGCTGCTCCAACAACAAGAGCTCCAGCAACAGCAAATCGAGCAACAGGCACGCCTAAGTGATATAGCGGCAGTTTTGCCAAATAAATCGAGAGCTATTGTCGATCAATCTGCCAAATGTGACGGAAGCAACAGCAGAGGCAATCAGAGCAGTCCCGGCAGCAGCAGCGAAGGTGAGGTGCATTCCACGAAAACACTGCGCTCTTCACTTTCTGACGCCAGACAAGAGACGCCGGCGGCGGAAATTGAGAAACGATTCAGCATTACGAGTCGCAAGCGTATGCTGACTACCGATTCTTACCGAAAGAAAGGTGAACGCGCAACAATAGGCGCAAAGTTACAAAAGCAAACAGATCAGCGAATTTCAAAGATGCAAGATTTTTCTAGCTCCGATTTAAGTGATGGCAACGATGATGTCGAAAACGTTGAAGATGAAAACGAGTTCGGCGGCAATGATGAGGATGTCAACGCCGACCACATTGTTAATGATGAGCAGGATGAACGGGCAGTTGAGAACAACGAAAACGGTGCGCTAAGCAAGAGTAACTGTAATACCCTGGAAAACTCCATCGATGCTAGCAACATGACAATACCTGAGCAGGCGCGCTCACCAACATTAACCAATGCATCTGGCACATCCACGCCTACACACCATGCGTCCGATATTGAAGATGGGGAAAAAATTGATGCAGAAAACAGATTTTACGGCGGCGAATCTGACAGTGGCGGCATGCATGCAACAGCGAAGAGCGAGTCAACGACAAAACCACGAAACAGTGCAGCATGGGAAGGGAATGCACCGTCCACCAGTGAAGCAAAACTGTCTCGTCGCCAACAGCGAATCCGTCGACAGAGTACATCGCCGCTTGCTAGCTGTGACGAAACGACACCGTCGGGTAATGCCGTGGAACCGGGTTTTGTGGCAGGCGGACCTTCGGGTGCTTCCACAACGCAAACACCTTACGTACCAGGCGAACCCCCCTTAGCGGCACCAATTCGTATAGCGCTTCGTGGTCAGAATTATCCCTTCGAAACAGAAAACATGAGCTGTGAAAACTCTGCAACGGCTAAAGGTAAAGCTGTCGACGAGTATAACAGCACTAACACAGTGCAGAACGAAATCGCGTCGGAAAGCCGGTTATGTAATGCCAGAGACGGAGCAGATGGGCACAACAACAACAACGATCATAATGATGCCAAGAGAGTCAGTTTCAACAGCAAGCAAGGGTATAGGCGCAGTACGTTTGATGTTGAAGAAAGCGCGCGCCTCCAGATTCTTTACGATGAACAACGTGGAAATTGTGGTGGTACAGCATATGCCATTAGAGCGCATTTAGCAGCGTCTTTGGCGTCGATGTCGCCAACAACGGAATCAAATGTGGCGCAGCCTAGCCATGTAGAGTATTTACTTACACAAGCATCGCCGCCGGATTTTCAGTATATCAACAGTCACAACTTAGTTGATAAGAGTGGTAGTCCCAATGATAAGGACAAAGCCAGTGATGCGGATGCCATAGCGAGAAAATCGCACCAACACACTCAGCATGCAGAACAACGGGAGGAAACAACTATAGGTAGGAGGGAAAGCGTCGGCAACGAGGGTAGTGACGAAATTGGCGTTGGTACTTTAGATGACAAGGGCCATTCTTTTTATGGCGGTCAACCTAGTTATCGCAAAAGCGTTGGCATGTCTACGCTCAGCGGCGGTAACCTTTGCTTTTCGGCAGAATCCTTTTCAGCTACAAGGCAGTCAATGGCAGCGGACAATAGATCAACTACAATTACAAACATTTTTACTAATACTACTACCACTACTACTCCTATTACTACGGTTACCGAAGGTTGTGTTTCATCAAATGTTACTAATAAGATTCCTAATAGTGATGCTATAGCATCAACGTCATTAATTGCAACCCCAACAGCAACGCCAGCACCGATGTCAACTGAAAAAACTACGGCGTCAGCAGCGATGTTGAGCACTGCGAAACCCTATGCGAATAAAGCAGATGGCTGTGAAATGGGTAAGAATGTCGTGCCGTCTCCAACGGCATTCAATGTAAATTTGTCGGCCCCAGGCGGCTACAAGCTCAACGCCTCGCCGGAGTCGCCCAAAACACCAACTGTAACGTATTGCAATAAGGGATCTAGTGTCTGGGCTCAGACAAATGAAGCTTACAGACGGTACAACAATGAAGGCAGCAGTGACGGTAACGGCGGGGGAGTAGCCCTCGTGGCATTAAATGAGTCACGCCTGCCAATTCAATCGGGACAGTGCTTTAAAGTAGAGGAGGTATTGCGGCAAAGTGACAACGAAAACAAAGCAAAACATTTACAGCAGTCTGGCAATGGGCATGCAGCTAAGTACGATGGGGTTGCCGAGCATCAGCTGCAGGAACAGAAACCACAGCGGCTGAAAAGTCAAACAGGCGAAAACGATGATGCGCCCGAGTCGACAGCTGCTTGCTCGACTGCGGCCGGGACGCATGCGTATACCGCGGAAATGGCACTGCAGCATCAGCGTGAGCAACAACGTCATCTGAATCAAGGTGTACAGCATTATATACAGGGGCAACTAAGTCACCAGTTGCAGCACCAGCACCGGCAACAACAACAACTTCATGACCATCAGCAACGGCAACAACTGCAGCATGCACAAAATGCCATTAATCAGCAGCAACAAAACGATGCGTCACATGTACTGCAACATATCTCGTTGCATGATCACAATTTGCATGCGCAAGCACAACTGCAGGAAGCGATGCGTTGCAGCCAACAGCAGGGGCAACAGAATTTATTAGAGCAACATCAGCACCATCACATACATCAACGATCCCATGAGGAGCAGCAGCAACAACACTTGATGGTATATCTACATCATACTGCTGAACAGAGCCGGTTACAGCAGCAACTGCAGCATCAAGCCAATCAGCAAGAGCATGAATATCAACAACAGCAACAGCACTACCAGCGACAACAGACACAGCAGCTGCAGCATCATCAACAGCAAGAGCTACTACTAGCAGCACAGCAGCAACAACATCCTAATCTGCAGCAGCAGCAGCAGCAGCAACAACCACAACATGCACCAACAGACTTGAAAAGATTACATCGTCCGCCACCCACCAGTATTGAAGACCTCATAATCGATGAATTCTCAGAAGATCCGCACGCTGTCTATAAACTGTGAGTAGTGTATGAGAAGCCATTGCTTATATATCTAAATATGTATGAATTTCATTGAAAACTTGCCATGTTTCAATAAATGCGAAAACCCATATTCACCGCATTAGGTAGGTATGTACATACATAGGTGCATAGACGCATAGGTAGTTAGCTATCAATGGCTTTTAGAACAGAGTGATAGTATCTAGCACAAATGAAACTCCAGAGTAGTTAGACAGATTCTTAATATATATAAAGAGGTTTGGTTCTTCAACATCTCATCGCTCTCAATACAATGCCGGCATTATCTCTTTGCGAATGGCTAACTAAATAACCTTGTCCGTCTAGAAGCATGTTCACATTATCGTAATTTACGGCTCATTTGTAATTTAAAATGGAATAATGCTGAAACTAAATACATAATTTTGCCTTGTAAATTCTGTCTAAGATCTATGGCGAATCTGAGCGCACTTGATTTGTGTGAAGTAATTTGATCCCCACTAATAAATTTATGTCGTAATATGTATGAAAATAGTTTAAGAACTTGAACCGCTTCCCAGCACCTAATCCGTTCTTAATTTACTCACAAAGCAATTAAAAGTTTTGAAGTAGACCATCTGAGAAGGGATGCCATTTGTCAGTTCAAATTCCCCCAAAAAATTTTCTTGGATTATTGAAGACACTTGATTCTCTTTAAAAAATACAAATACATAGATTAGTTATGATAAAATCTGTTTAGGATTAAATTGATATAACAGAATAATAGAGCGTTGACTGTATCTATAAGAATTTGAACTCACAGCGCCTAGAATAAGAATTTGTTACAAAAATTTTTATTATTTTTTTTTTTGATAGTAGGAGAGGGAAATTCATTATGCACTGGCCGGTGGCGCTAAAACCCAAACTTCCACCGCCCGCGAAAGAATCCCGCATCTGTCACCGCAATTCTGCATGTCTTCAGATGCTAGAGCCTCAGGGCTGCTCTTTTGTAGGGGCGTTTGATTCGGGTGTCCTCAGTAGACATCCATCTTATCGTCTGCAGCGGAGCACGAATTTCACGTATCTAGCAAATGCTTCCCACTTGTCTGCACTGGAGATCATTACACCAATTACGTTGTTCGGGGTCATGTCTCCGTATCTTTCTTCCAACATTCTGCGCGAAGTCAAGAAGTACTCGCAAGTGAAGAATGGATGGTGTACGTTATTTTCGACGTTTCCACAGTAGTTACAGAACGGTGTGTCTACCCTGCCCATTCTATGAAGATATTCTCGGAAGTAAACATGCCCGGTGAGGAATTGCGTCAGGTAGAAATCGACGTCCCCGTGCGGTATTTTCAACCATGTTTGAAGGTCGGCTATCAGGGTGTGTATCCATCGACCTTTTGTGCTGGCGTTCCAGTTTTGTTGCCCTTGCCGCGGCAGCTGCTCGGCCTATCTCGGCACTGGGATTGTAAATATCTTTTCGCTCGTAAGCAAGTAGCTCAATTGGCATGACGCCAGAAATAACTAGAACCGCGTCCGCGGACACTGCACGGTATGCAGAAGCAATGCGTAGTGCCTCTCTGCGCTAGACCGAAGACATTTGAATCCGGTATTTTTTCACTTTCAATGCGTCGGCCCATATTTCTGCCCCTTACAGGAGCACCGACTGCTGTCATAAAAAGTTTCAACGCTACGCTTCACGTCATCTCTATATATTGGCCAAGATAACTTTGAAAGTTCTTTGTTAATTTTTCTGAAATTAGCTTTCGCAAAAACATATCTAGTACTTGAACTATACAACTTATTATTACGAATTTCGTTTATGATTTCATAGCTTAACTCAAGAGCTGGATTGCATGCATCCTCTGGCAAAACTAGAGGATCAGACCGATTAATAGAGGACTTCGGAACAGATCCTAGACCTTTCCAAACTTATCTGGACATATATTTATATGTTTTAGGCAAAGTTCCGCCATTTCCTCCAGAAATACATTGTTACTATCTCTAGATGAAACTGGTACAACATCGGTGCCAATAATGTTCCATGAAATGTGTGGCAGATTAAAATTGCACAAAACTATCGTAGANCACCTGACTAACGACGTCACATTTTCTTGCTGCAGCATTGCATGTTAAATTAACTTTTTGCAATGAATTCAGGTAAGTTATTCTTATTATTTTTTATAGAAGTGTGCTAATACAGTTTACTTCAGATAATATTATGTGCGATTCCAAGAAAAGGCGAGTGGAAAGGAGCAGCAATCCTGAAGTATGGCAGAGATGGCTCTGTGAACTGTCGAGTGGGGAAGAAAGCCCTGTTGATGAAGAAGATGAGTCCGAGGTTGATGTAGATATGGATGTGAGTGCGGATGCTGCTGAAGAGAGTGATCACGAGACTGAATATGAACTAGAAGGATCAGAACTTGATGAAATATTTTCAAACTATTCTGGCGAAGCTCATCCCACAAATTTTTATCTTGGAAAAGATAATGTTACTAAATGGAAGAAACCCAGACCCAATTTGCAAGTTCGTGTTCGTTCTCACAATATCATCAAACTTTTGCCGGGTACAAAAGGTAATGCGCGCAGTGTTGAAACAGAAATTGAATGCTTGAGTTTATTTGTGAATGATTCAGTTATAAGAATAACAACTGTTTCTACAAATTTATATATTCAAAAAGTTCGAAGTAACTTTCAAGAAGACAGAAGAAATCACGACGCAAGAGAAACTGATGAGACAGAAATTCGCGCTTTCATTGGTATTTTGTGTTTGGTTGGAGCTCTAAGAAGCTCTAGAAAAAATCTTCATAAAATTGGGATAATTCCCAAGGAAACGGGGTTGAGTCGTGCTACCTAGCAATGAGCGAGAAACGGTTTCGATTTCTAATAAGATGTCTGCGGTTTGACAACATAGATACAAGAAATCAGAGAAGGGAAATTGATAAGCTGGCGCCTATTAGAGAACTTTTTGAAGTGTTTCTGGTAAATTTTCAAAGTAATTTCATTGGNAGAGGTTGCCCAATGCGCAGGTCCGTTATTCTTTTCTCGCAAAATTGGGCGACAACAACAGCGAAAACAACAAGCAGCGGAAACAACAAGCAGCGTAAAAAAGCATAAATTTAAAGTGAAGTGAACCGATTTCAAACCTATTGTAATCGATAGCTTATTCAAAAATATTTAATTTAACCAAATTTTTGCTTATGCCTTTATGTCGAAGAAGCCACAAAACCGGATTTTTCACTGCGGAAAATTTTTGGGAAATTTTCATTTGAACTCACTATATCTCAGACGTTTGTGTATCGCTTGATTTGCAATTTTTACACAATAAACTAGATACTATTCTAAAGAAGATGAGTCTAACTGCACTTCTTAATACGTATTTAAAACAAAATGGCGGATATTTTAACATTTTTATAAGAATTAAGTAGGTGGGTTTTACAAATGCAAAAGTTGTGTTATGAAGTTTAAAATTTTTGTTTTAATGCAGCATTATAGATACATGCGGACATTTTTGGGAAAGTTTCAGGTTTAGACAACAAGTAGTTCTATGGTTGTAACAATATTATGGTGGCACCTACGAGCGGGCGCTCGCCTCTAGATAATAAATATTTTTACTGGGCACTTGTACAAGTAATTTTGGACGTAATATTAAGTGAAATGTTGAAATGCATGAATTTGTCAGTGTTATATAACTTATCAATAAACTTAATAGACATACTTACATACATACATACTTAGTAAATATGCATGTAACCTAGGGCTGCGAGACGTCCCGGTTTTCCAGGATTTGTCCTGATTTAGACAAATAGTCCTGGTGTCCTTTTCTACACTTAGATTGTCCTAGTTTTTTAATGAAGGTCAATGCAGACACTTCTGTAATTGTTAACAGATTTTGCTATGAAAAAAAGGTTAAGCTTTCTGTCAAATTCATAACTAAACATTTTTCTAACATGTTGAATATCTGGTGAGTTTAACTTCTTTCTGTTTAGTTTATTTGGTTAAAATCTCATTTTTTTCAGGCAAATACCAAAAAAGCCCAAGTTTCTGATCAGGTACACGGCTGAGGGGTCATACATATGTAAATACTGCCAATAAGGTAATTTACGGAGCTAACATCTCATCCAAAAGGCCTTTCTTTCCTTTCCTCTTCATTTTTTGTATGGAGTGGCACAAATTGATGGGCTTCTGCCTTCGCTACTCAAAACGAGCTTTCAGAAGGGCTTTTGTAGGACGCCTTTTGAAGAAATTCTTTTAGGGCCGGTTGCTCAAAGCCTGGTTGACACTAATCCCTGGTTAAACATCGTTATCGACGTTACCGACTCCGTGTTATATACATGGAGTCGAAAACGTCGATTACGATGTTAACCGATGATTAGTGTCAACCAGCCTTCGAGCAACCGGCCCTTAGAGTTTTTCTTAATTCATAAAAATCATACTTCTTTAAGGAATTTATTTAAGGTTCACATCAAATAGTTGCATTTAGACTTAAAATGCCTATTGAATCTTATTTGTAATGCTAAGTAATATAAACATTTACTTAAGTACATTCGCGTTAATTGTAAATAGGAAACACCTTTCTAGAAAGCATGCAGGGAAGCACTTTTTTCAGTCCTTGTTGGGTAAGCCTTTTAGAATGGCTACCTAAATTATCTTCAGGTTATGCATATACCAAATGCCAAAAATTATCATGAAGCGCGTTGTAGGATATGCGGACATTTGCTAATGGTGGTACGTCACCGTCACGAGAAATGTGTTCTTTTATGATTAAAAAAATTCAGAACTTGAGCATTTCATCACCATCAATTATTCAGCTCTACGGATTGAGCCACAAAACTACATGGCTTATAATAGCAGAACCAAAGCAACTGTACTTATGAGGATATATTGGCACCATATCCACTTGTATCCTGGTCGATGGGTTCAGGATTATGGCAGCCCTAATGTAACTGCATACATAGTCAAAATAGTTATTCGTACAGTGATTGTTTCACAATATTCGCAATGTTTATAATAAACATTATTCGGTAATTTTTCACGAA